AAATTAAATAAATGTTTTTCTCCTGTGTTACCTCTTTTATGCATCTTAGCTCTGCCAATGCCCCAACTTTAATCGTATAAATCATTTTAATTTACTCCAAAAGGAATTTGTTTTGATTTATTAACCTATTCCTTCCTATTATGAATTTCGATAAAACTTAGAGATGTCCATGCGCCACTCATATTTCTACAAAACTGAAGCTAACGTGAAAAATCAAATCAGCAACATCTATAGCATATACTTCCAGTTTTTGCAATATTTAAGCTATACCTAAGTTATCGAAAGCAATGCAGAGGTTTTAGCAATGAATGTCTTTCCTAAAGTTATCAATCTAATGATTAGATTAATTTGAAAAGAAAAAGAGTCCTATCACTAGGAAAAGTGTATTAAGAAAGTTACACATTCTATTAAAATGGAACAAATATTCACTTGTTCTATACAGCTGGATAACATACATGTTGACAATTTGAAATGCTTTGCTAGTTTTTTGTTTATACTGCCAAGATAAATGCAGCTATAGAAGTTCTTTCATTAATAAATGACCCCCTCACCACAAGAAAAGGTTTAAAATTCAAATACTGAAAGCTATATCACCACAAAATTCTACACTCTTTTGCAAAAAAAATCGAAAAACCAAGAAAGACTTTTGCGATTGTGACTAAATTTGGTATGCAAAAACATCTTGATCGAACATGAATATGATCAAAGTTTCAAGGCAAATGAATAGGAATTGTGATCATAGCGCACACTTCTAGTGCGCAATTCACAAAGTATAAAACCAGTAACAGAGATGGAAATTTTATCTTTTTCTGTTGCTGCCATTGTAATTCTGTAAAGAAGCAACTAAAGATGCCATTGTTGCAATATCGAAGACAGACAACTAAACGACTTTAAATGTGGTTGCATTGTAGGGTTGCGTGAAGCTGGGTGGTCATACCGAGCAATAGGCCACCACCTGCAGCGCACAGACACTGCTGTGCAAAGATGTTGGCAGCAATGGTTGCTACAAGGAAATTGAAGAAAAAATGAAGGCTCTGGAAGGCCAAGGAGTACAAATTTGAGGCAAGATGAGATGATTGTTCACCAGGCCCGAACCACCCAACGGTATCATTGTCGATAACTCAACACATTAGAGCCACGTCTTTACCTCCCGTGGTACTGTCCAGCATCTCATGGCACTTGTCTGAGGTGGGGTTATGCTCACAAAGGCCTTTAAGACATTTGCCTTTGACCCCACAACATCGACGGAGTCATCTGGAGTAGCGTCGCAGCCGATCATCATGGTTGCCATCAGACTGGCATCGTACAGTTTTCAGCGATAAATCCCGCTTCACTCTTAAAGCAGATGACCAACGTGTATGTGTCTGGAGAGGACGGGGCCAGCAGTCTCAATCAGCCTTTGTGTTACAAAGGCATACAGCCATAACCTTGGCTTGATGATGTAGGGTGCTATTTGTTATGACAGCAGGTCATCTTTAGTCATCCTTCGTACATCTTTAGCAGCTCAATGATATGTTGATAACATGCTGCAGCTGGTTGCATTACCCTTCATGACACGTCATCCTGGAGCCATTTTCTAACAAGATAATGCCAGGCCACATACTGCTCGCATATCTCTGGACTGTCTCCATGCAGTTGATAATCTTACTTGGCCAGCAAGGTCACCAGACCTTTCACCAATCGAGCATGTCTGGGACATAGTAGGCTGCCAGATTCAGGCACCACAAAATATCGCAGATCTGGAGCAACAACTGATGAATTCCTGGCAAATGTGTCGCAGGATGACATCAGAAACCTCTAGCACTCCTTGCGTCGACGAATTCAAGCATGCATTACTGCCAAGGGCGGTTCGACCAACTACTAATTTGAACACTCAATGGGCGATTATGAGCCATGAACAGATACTACGACCATGACTTTTTAATCCTTTTATTACCTGTGTATGAGCTGTACATATATTCAATTTCATCAAAAACAACCACTTTCTTCAAGGTGCTTCGATTTTTTTTACAAAAGAGTGTATTTTAATAATGCTGAGTTACATACCCAAACACCAAATATTTGAAAAATACAGAATTTCTAATGTTCAGTTTATGTGATCAATTTTTGATTAATAATTGAAGGGCTTGCAGCAAGAAGGGCCCAGCTCCACTTTGGTAGACTTTGGGTTCATGGGTCTTTTGTGTAAAAAAAAAAAAAAATAAAAAAAATAAAAGCTTTTTTTTTTTTTTTTTTTTTTTGCATTGGAGTAAAAAGCCATTGGAGTAGCCGCAAAAAATCATTTTTTCTAATACTTTTAATGAGAACAAATGTTTAGAATATCAATTAAAAAATGAATTTTTGAAACATTTTCTTAAATTTTCCAAAAATTTAAAAGTGTGGAGTTGGGCTCTTCAATTTTTTAAAAAAAATAGAATGTATGTTAGTTAATGTACAGTTATATGAAATAATATCTTATCTGAAGTGCAATATAGTAAACAGGGTTAATTTTAACTTTTTTAATTGACATGTCCCTTGAAAAAAAAAAAAGCCTTGAGTTTTATAAAGATCGTGAATTATAAATAAAAGAAACAGAGTTATGCTTTGCTGGAATAGCAACATCAGATGTTCTAAAGATCTGATATAAAATTTGCATTTGTAGTTCTTATTCAGCTGGAGAAATTATATGTTTGTGTTTCAAAAGTCTAAATAAAATTTATTAATATTATCAAATATGGCCTTTTTACTGACAAGAACTAAATTTCCACTTCAATGAAATAAAGTGCAGGAAGATGAAATTTCATCTCAATATGAAATGAACAGAAATAAGAAAGTTTACTTGTTTAAATAAATGGAAATGTTACCTATTTTAATAAAATGTTACAGATATCTTATCCTAATGAAAGCATATTATACATTATACATTATACAGACGTTTTGGTTTTTTGATTGCTGAAAACATTAAAAATCAATTGCATCCTCATTGGAAATTGAATCACAGATTCTCCAGTTGCTAGATGACTGTGCTAATTACTGCACTATAGTGCACACTTAAGGAGCACCTTAATTTCTTACATTCCCATCCCTACTTAAGACGTGACTAGCAAGAGAACAAGATTAGTTGACCAAATTTTAAATATGACAAATTACCATCGAACACATTTTAGTTCAAGTTTCATTCCAGATACTGTTTTGCTTTTCAGAGCAAGAAATGAGAAAAATCATCTGCACATTCAATAGGCATCGAACCATAGACAATATTCAATACTAACTGTACTACCTCATAAGGGCACATTGGAGAGGGTAGTTCCTTGCTACATTTAGAACATTTCCTTGTACGAATCATTAATGACTGTCCAATATTTTTTTATTCTACACTGGTGAAATAAATTAAGAGAATTTTCATATTTGATCAACGATCTCCAGAACTAATGGACAGATTTTAATAAAATTTGGTGCGAACATAGGTCAATATAATACAAACAAAATATACATTCAGCAATTATAATAGACACACGTGTGTGTAACATGGGAGTCTGAAGTTCTGAAACAGCGGTTGCAGAAGACATAAAAGAAATGGGTTAATAGGGGGTATGGTCCCCTCTTACAGCCATACAGGCCTCGCAGCGTGATGTTATACTGGAAATAAGGCAGTTTATCAGTGCCTGTGGCAATTGGTCCCACTCATTCAGCAATGCTGTTTTCAGTTCCTGGATGGTTCTATTGCCCTCCCCAGAGCATCCCAAACATGCTCTATAGGGTTGAGGTCTGGAGTCCTGGCTGGCCAATCCATCCGGCGAATAATATCCTCATCCTCAAGAAATTCGTCGACTATATGGCCTTGCGTTTTCGTCCTGTAACATGAACTCGGAGCCCACTGCAGCCCGGAAAAGGTGAACATAGGGCTCCAAGACCTCATTCCTATACCTCACACCAGTCACAGAGCCTCTGTCAAAGACATGGAGAGGTAAGCGGCCATCCAACATGATGACCGCCCAGACTATTACACCGCCACCACCGTAATTGTTGATTTCGTGGACACTGGAGGATAGGTAGGGGGTCCCTGGCTCTCTCTCCATATGAAAGTACGGCGAGAATCAGTGTTTAGGCTAAAACAGGACTCATCAGTGAATAGAACGGTCGCCCATGGCTCTGTACTCCAATCACTATGTGTCTGCACCATGCTAATTGGACTCTCCTGTCCATAGACGTGAGTGGGACATAAACAGCCGGTTTTCTGTCAAACAACCCTCTCTCATTCAGTCTTTTGGAAATAGTCACCCTTGTTACATGAGTTCCTGTGGCTGCATACAGGTCCCGAGAGAGCTGAGAAGCTGTAGTTCCTCTGTTACGCCTTGCTAAAATGGACAAATAGCAATTTTCTCTGGCCGCCGTGGCTCTTGGACAACTTCACCTAGGCTTTCTCTCGATGGATCCAGTATTCTGGAACAGTTTCCATAGGTTACACACGGCGCTGGACGTTAAAAATTAAACTCTCTACATATCTGGATTTGCGATTGGCCTGCCTCTAGCCTCCCCACAATTCGCCACCTCATTCCATCATCTAAACATTGGTGGTTACTCATTTTTACTGTTCCGATGTGAATTTAACCGATTGCTGCAAGATAACACCTAGAAATTCGCCGAGGTGCGCTAGTGAACGCAATTCGTCTTACCCTCAATACGTTTATAAAGCCTGTTTTTCTGCTGGCTCTGCCTACAAACATGTGCACGCTTACGTATTTGTCATACTGGATTTGCATTTTTATCTGGAAGCAGTGGTTTTCCCTTCAGTTCAATTCTTTCCATGCGATTCGATAAAATATGTAAATTCTCTTAATTTATTTCACCAGTGTATATAGTTGACAAAAGAATTCACCTATCATCACACTCTGTACTATGCTGATGGATAACATTTGAAAATTTTTTATGGATAATTCAATTTATAATTACAAAAATACTAAAATGTCAATTTGTAATTTCAGTGCTGTGGCTATAACAATTAAAACAAATTTACTCACTTATCTGGTTTTTCTTTACGTATGTCAATTCCAAATACTACCGCATCTTCACCACAACTATAAAATGTATGAGGAGAATCCATTGTTACAGCAAGCTGTAATGAGAATACAGAACAGTTACAAAAACTTCAGAAAACTTTGCACAAACCAAAAACACTGTTTCTTGTCTTTATTACTGAGATAGCATACAAAGTATATAAAATTATTTAAAACACATGAAGAATATCAACATTTTTAATGAAATGCATTGTTCTTGAATTAATTTGAATGAAATGTTCTTTATAAGGTAATTAGCGAAAATTAATAAAGTAATTAGCAAATTTATAAGGTAATTACAAAAACTAAAATCAAAGTTTATTGTATTATGATATTAAAACAATGCATTTTTTACAGTCTCTTTTTGAAATACTTTCTTAAACACGTAGCGTATTCGGAAACTCAGTACCGTTTCATTCTAGCGCCGTCGCAGCGCTGTGGTAGGGGTCCCGCGCATGCGCACTAGTCTTTCTTGTTCACTGACTTTCAATTGTCGCCATTTTGGTTGCTCTATGTTGTGTTTTCAGTTTGCTGTGCACATTCAAAATGTTTAAGACAATTAATTCTCCCGCTGACTGCGAGATTCGTGCCATGATTAAATTTCTGAACGCGAGGAATGTTAAACCGGCCAAAATTTATCGTCAAGTTACACAAGTTTACAGTGAATGCGCGATAAGTAATGGAATGGTGAGAAAGTGGGTAAGAATGTTTAATGCAGGTCAAACAAATGTCTATGCCGAGGCTCGGAGTGGTCGGCCTTCTGTTGTCACCGATGATTTGGTAAGGAAAGTTGAAGCAATTCATGAGAACAGACGCTTCACAATGACAACTCTTTCAGAGGCATTTCCACAAATTTCACGTACTGTTTTGTTCGAAATTGTGTCTGACTGCTTGAATTATCGCAAACTGTATTCCCGATGGGTTCCAAAAATGCTCACTGATGTTCACAAAACAAAGCGACTTGGTAGTGCCCTGACATTTCTCACGTGGTACAGTGATGAGGGAGAAAACTTTTTAAACCAAATTATGACAGGTGATGAAACTTGGGTGTGTCATTTCACACCAGAATCGAGACAACAATCGATGGAGTGGAGACACACTCAGTCTCTGAAAAAACAAAAGTTCAAAGTGACAATGTCATCACAAAAAAATCATGTGTACTGTCTTCTGGGATAGGAAAAGCGTTTTGCTTACTGAATTTCTTCCCAGAGGTGAAACCATTAATGCGGCACAATATTGTGAGACTTTAACAAAACTAAGGCGTGCCATTCAAAATAAACGAAGAGGAATGCTCAGTAAAGGAATTGTGTTGCTCCATGACAATGCTTGGCCCCTTACTGCTGGTGTCACTCAATGTTAATTCGACAGTTTCATTGGGAGCAGTTCGATCACCCACCGTACAGCCCAGACTTGGTGCCGTCCGACTATCACTTGTTCCTGCACATGAAGCGCAAGCTTGGTGGCAAGCGCTTTGGATCTGACAATGACACGAAAAATGCTGTGGAGTCGTGGTTATCGAAACTGGCGGGAAGTTTCTTTGACGATGGTGTACAAAAACTGGTCACCTGCTATGACAAGTGTTTGATCATTGGCGGAAACTATGTTGAAAAATAATTTAAGACATGTATTTTCATGTAAAAATAAAATTGGATTTGAAAAAATTGTTTTACTATTTTTTTTTTCTTTTCCAAAACGGTACTTAGTTTCCGAATACGCCTCGTATGATGTGATTTTCAGCTTTCTGGAGTAACTTTTAACCGCTTTCCTTACAAATTTTTTTGAAAAAAATTGCAAAAAATCATCTTATTTTTTTTATTTTATTATTAAATACAACAAAACGAAACAAATCAAAATATGTAGGTTTTAAGTTGAATTTTTAATTTTTTGAAGGTGTAAAAGCATTTATTTTTAATATTAGTTTACTATCCCAAGTTATCTCGGGCAAACGAAAAAAAGTTAAATATTAATCTTTGTATGATAGTTTTTGAAACAAGGGACAGCACAGAGTGGTACCTGACGTTCTACACTTGTATCTGGTCTCTTTTCTTACCGGCTTATCGCTGGAATCTCTTTCACGGGAGCACAAAGTGCACTTGTCTCGTTGGATTTGATTTTTTCCCCAACCTTTTCATAATCACTATTTGAAAAATCATCGCTTTCGCTATCTTCCATCATCTCCATTATTTTATTTTTTTCCAACGCATGCATCTTTCTTTATACATTACTAATCCACAAGCCAACGTATACTATACAATAGGGAAACACACGACCAGTCCCTCCAAAAGAACCACGCAACCAACAAAATTTGGCAAACTGCCAATCAAAGCTAAATATTTCCTTTCATTTCCTCCAGACCGAGTAAAACCGTGATAAAAGAAATCGTACTAACAAATTCTGCTTCGCCCAAGTTTTCTCGGGATAATAATTAACTGCAATATATACGAACCCGAGATAACTCAGGATAATCAGGCAAGCGGTTAAATAAAAAATCACAGTCACTCTATAATTAACACTCTATTTAGTTTATTTCAGATTACAGCACCTTTTATTTTAATAGTTAAATGTGTTAAATATTACGGATGATTTCTGACCCTTGTATTCAACAATACATATTCTAAAAATCCTGCTTTACTACTTCTTTAAATATACATCTCATATAATGTGCTTTCCAGCATCTTTTAATAGACTGTTTTCTAATGCAGATACTTGTTACTTAAATAATTTATATCTGTCAAAAGAATTTTAATTTATGTTTACAACTAGTTAAATTTAAATTTATGGTTATTTAAGTTTACAATTAAGGTCATTATATGATATAACAAGATTTCATCACGTTCACAGGAGAAATGAATAACTCCTTCATTTAAAATTTCATTATGATCTTGACATTTCTAAATAACTGAATTAGTATAATTTCATTAGAAGATTAATATTTCATTAGAAGAAAATACATGTTTTTAACTGATAATCAAAATTACTGTCCAACTTATAAAAAGATAACCAGGAAGTGATTTTGAACAAAAGTGCTACTTAACTATGCAAAATGCTATTACCCATTCAGCAATAAATGCTCCTGCTCCTGCCAAGGTAACATGTGCTGAATGTAAACAAAAGTCAAACACCCCCTTAGACTATCAAAGTGTGGTAGCACAGTATTAGCCAAAGTGTGGTAGCACAGTGTTAGCCATGCTCAAAGGAAGGCACCTCTTTCTATTCCTTCCTTCATGTTCTAGACAAGCTCAGTTCCCATGAAAGCTGTAGGAGTGATTTCTTGGGAGATGCTAGCAATTCATTCTTCACAACGTCGTACCATTCCCTCCCCAATACCTTTATGACCATTTCTTATAACCTCTTCTGATTTGCTGCTAGAGCTTACTCCGTGGACATTTGTTACCAAACTTCCCCAGGAGCAGTTCGAATGACTTTACCGATTCTGTTCTCGAAAAACATGAAAAATATACATTTCCTGCTCCAGAGAATACAAATATGCTTTCAACTATTCTGCAAAGACAAGTGCTCACAGCAACTATACTGTACAGGTAGTCTCAGCCAATAACAAACAAAATGACTAGCAAAAGGAGTCAGGCAAGAGAAAAACTGCCTACTTCACATTACAACATTTTTATGCCTAATAAACATCACAAAACAAACATGCTCTTTTCAAACTTTATTGCAATATCACCATTACCAATAAAATGGTACGTTTGGTAACAAGTAGGATGATTTATATATATACACATACATAAGGTGCAACCACAAAATAACTGAGCAAGCTAACAAATCAAACCATAAAATAAAAAAGTGAAAGAATAAATGCATGATAAAAACACAATAACAAGCCGAACAAATACTAATTCAGAAGTCAAACAACAAAAATCAGCGTTATATTTTAAAATTTTCACAAGACTAGTTTTGATGGTTTTACCGAACCACCATCGAAACTAGTCCTGTGAAAATTTTAAAATATAACGCTGATTTTTGTTGTTTGACTTCTGAATTAGAATAAATGCATATTTAGAAAGAGTGACATCTCACCTCTTGTTAAAAATAGTTTAAACCGGTTATTTTGTTGTTTGCTTAACAAAATTGTAAAGTTATTTTTATTTATTGTGAAGATAATGTACAAAAAAAAATTTCCTTTGAGATGGAATAATGTTATAATGTTACATTTGGTTACAAATTAAGTAAATCTGCTCCTCAAACATTTGAGATGATTTAAACAGTACATAGTTATGCATCATTATCAGAACACCACAAGTGTATAAGTGGTACAACTCCTTTAAATGTGGATATGAAAGCATTTAAGATGAAGCAAATCAAAGACTAAGATGATGATGCTGATGATTGAATTTTTGATTACAAAATAATTTCATGAACAATTAGTTCCAATGCCTATAAACAGTGTTTCGATGATCTGAAGAAACAATGGAAAAATTGCATAAATTACTCTAGTGATTATTTTGAAGGCAATAAATTTATTTGAAGGTCAGTAATCTTTTTCTTATTTATAAGAAAGTGTCCGGTTACATTATGGGTGCACCTTGTATATCATTATTATATTTTCACATCTACAGAACAGCAAGGAGACAAAAAGTCAAACATCCACAAAAATTAAGGTTAACATTTTACATAAATTTACAAGGCTTAAAATTCTTATTATTATTAAATTATGGTTATTTTTTTCAGCATTTGTCATAGACTAGATAACTCACTACAAATAATTTACTATTTTATAAATTGTATAAGAATTAATGGTAAAATTAATATTAATTTTCATAAACTACATTATTCACCTCATTATCAGTCATAGTTGGACATATAATGCATCTACAATGTACAAAGGGGTATAAAATTTCATATGTGTTGCTCATTTATATACTATATACTCACTTTACAGTGGAAATAAAGAGATATAATTGTACAATATTACAGAATAATTTTATTTACATAAAATAAATTTCATTTTTATGTATTATGCGTATTACTGTTGCATACCTTATGAGCTGCTCCTTTATGCTGGGCAATTTTTCGTGTACCTTTACAAACTCCTTCAGAAGACAATTCACCAATACGTACTTGACCATCCCTGGCACAACTAACAATATAGCAGTCACTACTCAATGGCATAAACTTTGCCTGTAGAATATAACATAAGATAAATATTACAAAAAACACAAACTTAAAATTTTTGTGTCTATAATATTAAAAAAAAATGCTTTTAAGTTGTATTTTTATGTTATAAACCCTTAATTAACTAAAACTGCTTGATGCATACTTTTATCTTTTACCGCTAATAGTAAATGCATTGGAAGGTGTTACCTCATTAAAGCACTTTTGTCATCACTTGTTAAACATGGCAATTCAACAAATCTGAACAGTCTGATTTTTGAATATTAAAAATATCACAAAAGCATAAATCAATTGAATTGAACACAAAGTTAGTATAGGATTTTCATTCTTCCTAGCACAGTTCTGTTTTTTGATAAAATATCCCAGTGTTTCAAATTTATTCCAAATTTTCTACTTTTCATATGTCCTTAAGAAAAGAAAAACAGACTTACAGATTTATTCTTATTTTCTGTGTATAACTATTTTTTCATTGGTATAATGAGTCCTGGTGGCTATTTCATTACAATCTGATGAGTCCACATGTATGAAGAAATATTGTGAAAGGAAATTTGAAGTGAAGAATGAAGAGAAGGATTTACATGTCGGTAAAAAATGCATGGCTGCCATTCTTGAAATATGAAAAACCAGCAGTTTCTGCAAAGTATTCATGCTGCATAGCAAAGGCATTTAAGAAAACTTCAAGTTGGCTAAAATTCACCTATAATAATGCATGATTAGGGTTACTGAACTATCTACATTATGTTTCTGATATAAATTATATTAATGATTAATTAGATATTGTAAATTTTGTGTTGTTTGGCTAATTTTATTTTATTACACTTTTTTTTTTTTTTTTTATACTGAGAAAACATTGAGTTGAGAAGCCTTTAGTTATCAAAGTACTTTTAAATGTGATGAGAAAAAAACTAACAATTAACGTACAGACTGTTGTATGGACAAACAAAGTACTATGTCGTACATTAAAGGAAAACAAAATTAAATATAGATATTAACTTATTAAATACTGATTGAATATTCATAAAAAGTTCTACAAATATTTACAGTAATTTGAGATAACTAAAATCAAATAAAATTTAATCAGAAAAATATGGTGAACATCAATAGAGGGAATATAGAAAATCAGAAAAATAGGGGTGCAGGAATGGAATTTAAACAATTTTGGTTTTATTAATTGTTGCTAAATTAAAAATCTAAGATTCTATAATCTACCATTGGGAGACCAGGTGTAGAGACAGACGTTGACTAAAAGTTTGAGACAGTGAAAACCTTTCAAGACTGCAAAATCTATTTTCAGGCTTTTTATTAGGCTGAGTTCCAAACCCAAAAAATCTCACAAAAAAATTTCTTGAACAAGTTTGATAAATATTTTAATAGATCAAAAATAAAACTGACTATCATGTAATTTTTCTTAATAATTCTGTTATTTGCACTGTTTTTAAAATGAAATTTACATTATTAATAAATACAGCTTATATCTGTATCTAATTGAAAGTACAATCTGTAATTTTTTTGTGTTAACACTTTATTATTAATTTCATAGATAGACCTTGTCCAGTTAACAAAGTTCAAATTTTGTAATTACTGCATTAAGAATTTCCACTGAATTGTCTATTGACATTTTTTTTTTTTTTTTTTTTTTTTTGTTCTCAGCAACTTCTTTGTCACTCGTGGGTATAGCCAGGGTCTGAGCCAAGATGCAAACTATTTTAGAAAGAGAAAATTAAATTAGGATTGGATTTCGAGATGCCAACTACTGGAGAGAAAAAAGACAGCTCAGCACTAGTAGTTTGGTTTAAGACTGAATCCAAGTGAACTGACCAGCTACATAAGCATACTGGTGTCTCCCATATGTAATGTGAATATGAGATGATTTCCCTAAGAAAATCCTTCATGAAGCCACGTGCTCCTTTAGGCAGATAGATCTTACAAGCTTTACCATAACTGAATAAAGAAATAAACCATACACTTAAATATATTAAGGCAGATTATTGAAATTTGGGAAGTAAGAACTCCTAATTCTTTAAACTGACTTGATAAGTTTTGTTCTGTCTGCACTTTTTTAGAACATGATACCTATCTCAATTCTTTTTCCCTGAACCAACTTTCTATGTATATCTAACACATATGCACAATTCAAGCAATCCTCTGTCACTGTTGAGCTCAAACCAAATTTTCTCTTTATAAAGCATTAAATGAAAACTTAATAGTATTTGTAGTACATGCTTGACATAAAGAAATAAGAAGAACATGTTCTGTTTGTGTGTGGGGGAGGGACTGTCCGTTCTTTTACCAAACCTTCCAAAACCCATTCATGTTGATGATCTTTGCTTTCTTTTCTCTCATCAAAAACTGTGACAGAGTTCTCACTATCAAAATTTTCAAACCATAAAAATCAAGAAGAAAATGCACTTTTTTCTAAATTGTTCACCCGGCATCTTTAATATAATCATAGATTCAGAAAAGGAACTGCCGATAAATTGTAGCTGGACTATCTTTCTCCCCACTGGTATTATTAAAGAATCCAGGTAAGAAATTATTACAGGTCTTTTCTACAATTCGTCAATCATAGACGCTGAAGCATTTGAAGGATGTTGCACTCAATACAGTCCTTGGTATTTGAGATTCAATGCTAATATTTTGAGCTACAGTACTGGAGAATAGCAGAATATCCTGGCAAAACACATTTGCTGCTTTATGGAACTCTTTCATGAGCATTAAAATTGTTGTCCACATATTGTAGCCTTTCATATTTCTTGATTATAAAGCTTAGAATATTTTTCACATAATCTCACTTCAATCAGTCCAGATTCATTATAGTTTGGTTTGAAAATTTCAAAAGTGTGGGAATTAATTGTGGGAAAAAATTTAAAAACTTTTCACTTCATATATGAAATTATTTTTTAATGCATAAATATTATACGTGAAATTATTTTTAATACATAAATACTACACATGAAATTATTTTTAATACATAAATATATCTCGATAGCACAAAAAATATCTCTCTTTTTCTGCATTTTAATTTTAGACAGTTTTAAAGTTATGAGACAGGTACCTATTTCAGTTTTTTGCTGCACTTCTTCATATGGAATTTACTGGAACTACAACATGACCAATATTTATGTTATATATAAGCAAAGCATGGCATGAATTAACAGCAAGCAATATGAAACCAGATTGGAAACATATCACACCACATCAAGCAAATAATTTCATGGGTTTTTGAAACTCATTTTGCTGAAGTTACCAATAAATGTGGAAACTGGGCACTAACTTTGTTTCAATGAATTAGTTTCCATTAACGTGAGTGCATCATCATATTAACCTTTAATGAATCAGATAATGAAACCTTATTAATATAGAAGAACAACGGGCTTTTAAAGCATGGGGGGACAACTCAGACAACCACTAGATTTAAAGCACTTGCAGCTCAGAAACTAACAAAAATTAATGGGATGAAGTCTTGTTAAATGATATTTTGCACACTGATCTCAATATTTAATGTAGTCTTACAATTAATCAAATGATAAAAATGCAATTTGTTGCTATAAAGAAATGTCTGAAGAGAAAAATGTTCCGACATTGATACTGCAATTTTTAGAGTAAAAGAAGTTAGTTGCGAAAAATATGCACTTTTCGTAAAACGTTCTAATAAAGGCATTTAAATTTATTAATCATGCTTTATTTATTGAAAAATGGACAAATGTCTTTAGGAACCAATAATAATTTTTTGTATATACATAGTTGCTCGATTAATCAGTTTCAAACAGTTCAGGATACCGGTAGAAATGATTATGCGGATTATGAAAGATATTGCTGTATTAGTCATAGGAAATATTTATATCACACCAAAGGTTGAAAAATTCGAGTGCTAACAGCCAATGATACAAAGAAGAACATTAAAAAAATATCTGGCAAATATATAAAAGATGAAACAAAGAAGAGGTTTTAATGCAATATTCGTGAGCTGAATCTTTATGTGAATTTCTAGTGGTACACATTGCTACATGAAAGCAGAGCTCGTTAACTATGTAGTTAACATGTGAAGTACTCGTTAACTAACTCGTTAACTCATTTTATCTATGTAGCTACAGACCAAAATGGAGCAGCTGTTAGCATATGGATACTGATAGGGGGTCTATGGCATCCATGGAGCCACTCAACACACATGAATTTGAGAGTCGGAATTCTTGAATCTAGTGTACAAAAATCCATCTGTCCTAGTGGTAGAGGATGCCCTCCCATGTCAAGGACTCAAGTTCTGTTCCTGAAGCCAACATGGCCTCTCACACTGCATTTCTGATTTGACACATACATGTTGCCATGTGCAAGACACCAATATAACACCGAAAACACTGAACAGCTGAGAGCCATAACTCACCAGTGACCTCTTGGTCGCCACATATCAGCTACTTTTGGGACAATTTAGGCACATACAGTGTGTTGAGTTAATATTTAATCAGTCTTTATTGCTTCATTATGCATTTTATAATTTGCAGGCAAAACCTCCTTTTGTAGAAATCTGGAAGAAAATTTTTTTCAAAAACATTGGTCAAAAACATTTGATGACGATGATAACAATTACAATAATAGTACATACACTTAAGTAATTATATACAGTCAAAAGTCGTTAATTCGGACACCCATAATCCGGAATGATCTATAATCCGGACCTCAAAGCTACAACCTTTCTGCGCATGCGTCGCGTTGACGCATGCGCGTAAGACCTTTACCGCTGCTAATTTGCGTGTGCGCGTGCACAAAATACGTTTATGAATGCGCATTTAATGTATAACGGACGGGATAAGCTAAGCTAAAATTATCTAATTATCTATTTCAGTTAATGTTGCAGATTGCGTTGTTCCTTAATCTTCGAATTGGATCCGGATTATTATTTTTTGCAGACTGTTAGAGCAATTTTATAAAAGTAAGCTTGAACTTTCGATTATGTCAAATAGAATTTTCTGATATATATTTACTAATATGTAAAGGATCTACAAAGCGAA